CCCATATATTGGCCACCTATAACTCACTATATTTAACGAATTAGGGTTTTTATGCATAAGTCTCTCACCAACCATTTTTATCATTCTAGATTCATGGGTTATATATTTTTCGCCAATAAGTCTATCCCTTTAATATGTATAATAAATAAAGGCAAAATTAATGTATATGATAAAATTACCCCCAACCATTTAAACTCAATTCCTAGTTGTAACCCCAATTTAACTTCAATTTAATCAATTTTGACCACAAAAATCCAATTTTAACCTTTTATTTTTCTATTTTTTTTCTGAATTTTGCTTTGCCGCCGGTTTCTGGCGGTAATTTTTTTATTTTTTTCTGTCTGCTTTTTCCACCGGTCTCCAGCGTTGACATTTTTTTTTCCTAAAATTTTTATCCGTTTTTTTTATGTTGGTTGCTGAACGTTGTCCGTAATTGTATGTATATGAAGAATAAAATTGGAGAAAGAGAGAATTGTGTCTCTCACACATATTATTGATATATATAGTTACATGTAGAAAACTCTAAGCTATTATACAAGGTAACTAAGAGGAGATATACATGCCAAGATTATACAAGATATATCTACAAGAATAATATCATAAAATAATAAACGAAAATGGAGAGGACGTGAAGAACTGGAGACAAACTCTCGAAACAGTTGGGTCGGGAGTCCTATAGTATGTCATTAATAGTAATTAACTGTCGCTGACAGTAATTTTAACTGTCGTTGACATTACATTTGCGTAATTGTATCGTCGTTGACAATACATTTAAGTAATTATACTGTCATTGACACTATATTTAGGTAATTATACTGTCGTTAACAATCAATTAATGTCAACCACATCAATGCTAAGGGGTATCTCACATTCTTCTATTTTAATCTACTGTTGCTACAAAGGTCGGAGTTTAACCGTCATTATAAACTTGATTAATATACAAATTTTCTAACAAGAAAATCGTCTTACATAGTGTCCAAGTTTACTATCATTAATAAATAAAAAATTTAAATCACTAAAAAATCAAAATTATCAATAACATTAATCAAAATAATATATATAACGTTTTCGGTTATAACGATTAACTTCTTGACGACGTCTCCCACTGTTCATTTCTTAGTAACCTTTTCACCATTTGATGAGATCATTTTCTCTCGGCCTTCATCTTTGGAGCTGACAACCCGGGGGAACCTATCTAAATGCTGATAAAAGTTTGATGAATATTTCGTATCGAGTTTTCGTTCCAACAAACTTTCATCGTTGGTATATTTGGAGATCTCTCCTCTTTTTTCTGGTATGCACTATTTTTGGATAGTCCACATTAGGTAACTTCATATGTGTGTGTGTGTACTGATCGATAGCACTTCATTGGGCCTCGGTTTTGTAGTTGACCATATATATTGCTGCAACGGTTATGAATGCTCCAACCAGTTGCAGTGGGCTGAAGGTCTCACCGAGATAGATGAACCTGCAGTTCAAACCCCTTTCACAATTTTAGCCAATGCCCAATTATAAGTGAGATTCATCAAAAGATCTTTATATATAAAAGAAAGAAACGCTACGGCAATTTAAGAAATCCTAATGAAGTATATATATATATATATATATATTATATTTTGCAGCCATTTTTTTCTAATTACTTTCACATCGAATCTCGACTAGCACAACCCTAAAATAAGTTTATATAATTCTTTCTAATTGTTATTATTATTATTATTATTATTTTCCTCTCCTATTTTCCAGCCGATTTTGTCTAATTCTTCTTTGTTTCATTTATTTAATGATCAATTTCAATTTCGTATTATCACTATTAAGTTTATATAAAGAAAAAATTGAACGAGTTTGTATTATTCTATTAGTATAAATGTTGACGTTACCAATATCACTAATAAACTGTAGTATAATTGTTAATTATCATGTATTAAACTAATCATTATTTTCACTTTTGAAATACTATTCCGGGAAAATGCTAGTTCTACTAATACCAAGATTCATTTTCACCAGGAATTCCGAAAGACGTTTAACAAAAGACATTGTTCTAACTTGGTTTGAATGCAAAACTGGAAGAAATAAATTTAATGGAAAAAAGAAAGTATAAATAAAATTATTCCGATTAGATTTCTTACCCGAAAACAGATGCAAACATTGGAGTGAGAAAGGTAAGGGAGCTCAGCTTTGTCAAGCTTCCTGAATGGCATTAATGAAACAATTTTAAGCACAATGGAAGAAACAATGAAACAAGAAAAATTACCACAAAAAAAAAAAAGAAAATTTCAAAATGAAAGCTTACCTCTTGTAGCATTGTAGAAGTAGACACCATAGCTGATGGCACTTCCAAATATTGAGGTATAAAGAAGGGCTAAAACGTCATTTGTCGTAAGCTCATCAAAACTCGAGAGGGCGGGATCATGTTTAAGAATGGAGATTGCCATAAGAGGGAGACCACCAATAACCATGTGCTGCAACGATATTTACTTTAGCTTAATTCGTTCAGATCAATGCATGAACAATAACAACTGGACAGTCTCGTAGTTTTATTAGCTTACAATGAGAAGCTCATAAATTCAACAATTCCCGACACCCTAAATTGCACAAATAAAGATATTGTCTCCTTTGTGCTATTATTATTTTGAAATTCGAAAAAAGTGGGTTTGGAAAATGAAAGGTGAGAAAATGCCGAACTTTTGAGTGGAGAGTTCAGAGCTACAGCATGACAAATGGCTGCAGTGCAGCATAAGATTGACCAAGACACGAGAAAATGGCACTGCAGTGCAAGAATTTCAAGACTCACTCCACACCACCAAATTGCCGGGAAAAAAGAAAAAAAAAAAGAATTTCAAATTTTGAAAAAAATTGTTTATGCATTACTGTGCTGTACCCAAACCAACGAGATAAGATACAATAAGTGCTCATATAACACAAGTTATGGACTAATTTCTCTCTGGCTCATATAACACAAGTTATGTTACCTAAAATATTCAACATCAATAAATTTCTATACTTTAATTCCATGTATAAATTCAGTGATTTGTATTGTTGGTAAATCACATGTCAGTATACAGTACAAAGAGTTCCCTCGTAAAACAAATTTTCTGGAACTTTACCATATTCAAACATCTTTGACACCCAGTAAAGATTTCGGCTATTCAGTTTACATTAATTACTGGTTTGTTGAGATACAGTCACAATGGTCCATCACCCCATATATCTTACCACGACAAAGAAACCAGCTAGGACTTTGTATTCGTCTCTTATTAGTAATGTACTGTAATAACAACGGTATTTATGGACTGCTGAAGAGGAATTAAGTAACAATACTCAATAATATAAATTCTTTTTTGAGGTGGACGTGAAAATTCGGTATTGATAATTAATCATAAATAACAGAGCATCTTACCCATCCAGTAGCCATAACAGGATCCGAGTATTTGGACACCCAACGGACCATTACAGTACCAACTGCCATACTTTGTGCTGCAAGAAGCATCCACCATTCTCCACTTTCCCACAATGAAAAGTTGTTCGCGTCAAAAGCAAGAGCGGGTACCTGCCAAGTATCAGCAAATATTTTATTTTATTTATTTATTTATTTATTATTATTTTTATTTATTTTATTTTATTATTATTTTTTTTTTTTTTTTGAGGAATAGAAATATTTGAATATCAGATTCTCTGCAATTGTGATTTTTCAGCATTCTTGGGAATTCATTGCTGTACATGTAAGAGTTGAAAACTTACAAGATTATTACCTCAAGAAGTAAAAGTCCTACAACACCAAGTATTAGTCCAGCAGCTCCAACGTACCCTATCGACTCCCCAAAGAATAACGATGCCAGAATAGCCACAGTCAGAGGCTGCGAATCAATTATTACCTGCAGCGTTTTGTACAGTATCTTTTCAAAGCAAGTTAACCAATGCGATTTCAATATCGAAAGCAAGAAAATATCAGCTCTTCTGAATAATTACATAAAAGAAAACATCAAAAACTGCAACATAGTAATATAGTTAGAAGCCATCGCACATGTACTCTTATCTCCACTTTATGAACAATTAAACCACCACAAATAGTAACAACCAACAACCTGATGGAGAATAACAACTAACATAGTAACGATACGGAGAAAAGATTTGGTTTTGACGAGAGGATTAGAGAAATGATTTCAAATGACTTCATATAGAGCAGATTTCGACCACAATAATTCAAAAACTATTCAATCTGAGAGTTACGGATTTAAAATACATTATAAAACGAACCCATACAAACAAGTTTACAAGAAATAGTTAGTATGGATTTGAATTCCTTCGCTCATAATCCTTACATCCAAAATGCAACCCTATGGAATCCAGGCTAAACAATACAACTTATGAATTAATTAAACCATCAGAAAATATGGGATTCTCGTATACGAATAAACTACGAATACTATACGAACAAACTACAATCACAGTCACAATTATCGGCAAAAAAAAGCTAAGTCCAGAAAAAGTATAGCGAAACATACACTGCCCAAACCAGCTGTAGTCCGGTCCAATCCTTCAGCCAGAAAGCCCTGATCACCATCAGCCAAATGAGGACGAAATGACACGTGTCCTTGATTGATTTGATACACTAACAACAAACTTAAGTACACGTACTACTACTACTAAACTAGAGGGACCTGAAAACACGAAGCATCGACGAGAGCGAATGCCGAGATCGACAGCCACGCATTGAAACCCGAAGGCAAACGCCGCCCTTTGGAAGCCGCGAAGCCGACCAATAGGAAGCCGGCTGGAATTAGCCGAAACGCCGACATGAAGAAGGGCCCCGTTTTGGGGAGAACTTCCTTCATCGCCACCATCGCCGTGCCCCAGAAGAAGAACGGCGATATCAAAAGCCCTAATTCCAATGCCAATAAAACCCAATCCGACGTCGTTTTGCCGGATTCCTGGCTCAATTTTTTTGTCTGGTTTTCTGAAAAATCATCGGCGGGAGGGTAAACGCATTCGACGTCAAATCCAGTGCCTATACACTCAATCTCATCGGACGGCGGCGAAGGGTCGATTCCGAGCTCCGCTTCCGTGGATTTGCTCCTAGCTCTGAAATTTGACAAAACGACGCCATTTCTGGTGGATTGGAATTGTGAGGAGAGATTCTTCTGCTTACTGAGAGTGGTGGTGAAACGGTTACGAGTTCTGCCGGTGGTGTAAATGGCGGGAACTGCAACCGGAGAAGTGGTTGCCGGAGAGGAAGAGCAGGAGCAGCAATTCCACGCCATGTTTTCTGATAAATATACTGAATTGAATTTTATTTCATGAAATTTAAATGATAATTGTAATTATAAATGCGTAAAAAATTATAAAGTATTCTGTGGTGATAAAGTATCCACAGTCGTCTAATTTGTCCGGTGGTATATGATAAAGGATGTGATTACGTGAACGGTAATGCACGATATTTTATTAATTTTAATTTTTGACGGCTTAATCTCAATTTTACATCTACTAACTAAGAGGGTGTTTGGCTCAGCATATAAGATGTTAAAAGGAGCTTATAAGATGTTTTAGAGCTTATAACCTCTTCCAAAGTGTTTGGTAAATTTTTAAAAAAATATCTTATTTTTTTTTTAAATAAGCTGTTGGAGAGCAAATAAGATCTTTTTAAATAAGTACATATACCCCACCTTTTTATTTTTATTTAAGATCTTTTAATGAGTAAAAATAGGAAATAAGTCCATATCCAAACACTCTAAAAATTAATTCTAAAAATAAGATGTAACAGCTTATCAACTCTTAAAACAACTTATCAGACGTAAGAGCTTATCAGCTGTTTAAAATAAGCTTAGCTAAACACCCTCTAAATACAATAAAGGGGCTATTTGTGAGATCCCTCTATAATTCCTTTTAAGAGTACTAGCATTTTTCCCCGTGCGATGCACGGGATATTATTTCAAGAGTAAAAAAAATAATCAATTTAATACATAATAAGAAAATATACGCACATAGTAAAATTTAATAATGTAGTATTATTCATATTTTATATAACATTAGTTTGTTTAAATTTTACATATTAAGATTTATAATCCAAAATATATAGATTTAGAGTTTACAAATTGAATTTCTATCTTTATCTCTTAAGATTTGAGATATATTGATGAAAAATAGGAGATTGATAATTGTTGAAAATTAGTAGAGAAAAAAATATTAAAAATAAATAATTAAAATAATACCATTAGGGTTTTTTAGGGTTGCGCAGCGTTTCTTTCTTTTATGTATAAGATATTACAAATAAGACTATAATACCCTATTATATTTTATTATGCTCCATTTTCATCATTTAACTCAATATAATCTCAATTTGACACTAAATTTTATTAATTATTCAATTTTGACACATATCCCAATTTAGACTACAATTTCAATAGTCATCGCCGTTGACAGCCGGTCTCCGGCGTTAACTTTTTTTTTTTTTTTTTTTTTCTGTTTAAACAGTAATATTGATGTGGTTGACAGTTATATTAACTATATTACTGTTTAACACAGTAATATTGTTATATTACTCTCAAACACAATAAAAGTAACACAACAAAATCCACTATTATTGTGTAATAGAGTAATATTAATATGTTGATTGTTCAACAATGGCAAACATAATAAAAGGCCAAAATAATTAATATTGATGAGGTTGACAATAATATTACTACCAACCACAATAATATTACCGTCAACCACAGTAATATTATTGTATTTACAGTAATATTAAAACAGTAGACAGCAATATTAGGCAAAATGAGTTTTTTAGTCCTGTAAGTTTGCTAATTGAGAGTTTTAGTCCACCATATTTGAAAATCAGAGTTTTAGAGTTACAAAAGTTGAGAATTTTGGTCTTATGACCTGCTATAACAGATAATGTGATGGTTGGTTGAATGAGTTGGCATTTAAAATATAAAATTAAATAGATTAAAAATAAATTAGGTGATGTGGCTAATGAGTTGGACAAATTTGAAGGGAAATAAAATATACCATCAAATTATTATTTTTATTTGATGAATGTATTAGCGTATATATTATATATATATTACGTATATTATTATTATTCCTATTTATTCTAGTTACCTTGTATAATAGGTTACCTTGTGTAGTTAGGATTAGGGTTTCCTACATAATAACTATATATATGATTAATATACGTAAGAGATAATTTATTCTCTCTTTTCTCCAAAACCTAATTCTCCTATATGGTATCAGACACTAGGTTAACCTAGCCGTCACCACCTCTTCTTCTCTTATTCTCTTCTTCTTCATAGACGGCGTCTTCTCCATGGCCGGCGAAGCTTCTTCTCCCTCCACCGCGCCTCTCAATCCTTTTCACCTTGCTCATGCCATCTCTAATATTAAATCTCTCATCCCCGTTACTCTAGATCTAAAAAATCCTAATTATCAAAAGTGGAGCCACTTTTTCACGATTACCGTCGGTCGTTTCTGCCTCTCCAACCTTCTACATGGAAAACCCCGACCGGATTCGATTTCCGCCGACGAATGGCAGCGCGCCGACTATCTCCTCCAATCTTGGATCTACGGCACCATCTCCGACGATCTGTCCAGCATGGTTCTCTCAAAAACCTCCACCGCCAGTGACCTATGGACCACCATCTCTTCTCTCTTCACCGATAACAAAGACTATCGAGCCATTCAACTTGAAGAAAAATTCAAGTCCCTCAAGAAAGGCGCTCTCTCCATTCACGATTATTGCCAAATAATCAAAACCACGGCGGACAACTTGGCCGATGTCGGAAATCCAATCTCCGACAAACAACTCGTCCTACAAACCCTACACGGCCTTCCGAAAAATTACGGGACCGTCGCCAACCTAATCTCCTTTCAGAATCCCCTTCCCACTTTTCTACAGACTCGATCTCTTCTTCAGATGGAAGAATCAAGAATTGCTGAACCGGAGCAGACCGCTGCTGTTTTCTACGCCTCCAACGCGAACTGTCCATCCAACAATTGCAACGGTTCCTGTAACAGTTCCCGCAGAGGTAGTTCTTCGCGTTATCAGCGCGGGGGTGGCCGATCCAACCGTCGCGGAGGTCGCAGCACTAACCGTCACCCCATGCAGCACTATGGCTACCATAATGCCCATGGCGCATCTCAACTCTGGCGCGCACCTTACCGACAACCGTCAATTCTGGGATCCGCTCCAAATACATCGGGCCACTCATCCACTCCAGCGGCTCAAGCCTACTTTACTGGACCACCTGAACCCTACACCGACCACTCGGCTCCTACTCAGGTTCATCCGCAGCAACAACCATGCCACAACTCTAACAGTTTCATCAACAGTTGCAACAGTTCCTGCAACAGTGCCAACGTGGTGGATCTCGCAAACCGTTTGAATACGGTGACACTTCAGCAGCCTACCGAGTCACAGTGGTTCATGGACAGCGGGGCGACCTCTCATATGGCACTGCACTCAGGTAATTTCAATTTTGTTTTTAATCCTGGCAGTCATTTCCCCAAACATGTCGTCGTCTGTAATGGTTCCACCCTCCCCATAACCCACATAGGCCACACAATTCTTCCCACCACTCCTTTCCGCCTCACAAATGTCTATGTCACACCCAATATCGTCAAACACCTTATCTCTGTTCGAAAGTTCACCCGCGACAACTCATGTTCGGTTGAATTTGACCCGTTTGGTTTTTCTGTGAAGGATCTTCGGAGTCGGGTCGAGATTTCCAGGTGCAATAGCTCCGGTGACCTATATCCATTTAAAGTCCCTCCCCCCATCTCACCTCCCGCTGCTTTCCTCACTGTCACAACACCTTCATCTCGCACTCTTTGGCATCGGCGTCTAGGCCATCCCGGGAAACACGTCATGTCTCGTTTATTTTCTAGCACTTTTCTTTCCCATAATAAAGACCCTGGGGAGTCTCTTTGTAATGCCTGTCAATTAGGCAAACATTTTCGTCTACCATTTTTTTCTCAAAAATCTACTACTGTTGCTCCATTTCAAATTATTCATGCTGATTTATGGACTTCTCCTGTTTCTAGTTTTACGGGTTTCAAATATTATCTTGTGTTAGTTGATGATTTTACCCATTATTTATGGACTTTTCCTCTTCGAAATAAATCTGATGTTTTTACAACCTTTGTCAATTTTCATACACTTCTCAAAACTCAATTCCAACATCCCCTGAAAGCCTTACAAAGTGATAATGGTCGTGAATTAAAAAATGCGGATTTTCAAAACTACTTCACTAAACACGGCATCCTAAATCGTTTTTCGTGTCCCCACACCTCCCCTCAAAACGGACACGCAGAACGAATGATCCGCACTATAACTAACATGATTCGATCCCTCATCTTTCAAGCTCATCTTTCTCTTACTTATTGGGTCGAAGCCCTTCATATGGCCACACATCTACTCAATATCTTACCTACCAAAACCACACAAAACCGGACTCCTCACGAAGCTCTTTACCTCATCAAACCTACATACTCTCATCTTCGAGTATTCGGCTGTCTCTGTTATCCCAACCTCACCGCCACCACAACACATAAACTCGCCCCCCCGTTCTACTCCTTGTGTCTATCTCGATCACCCTTCCTCTCACAAAGGCTATCGTTGCCTTGATAGATCCACTGGCCGAATCATAATTTCTCGTCATGTTACCTTCGACGAAACTAACTTTCCTTTTGCGGAGTCCACTCCCCCCAAAAACACACTTCCTCCTTCTGCCTTGGACGAAAACACACCCTCCCTGTTCCTCCTCCCTCAGACTTCGTCTAACTGTTGCAACAGTTCATCCAACTGTTCCAACAGTGAACCACCCTCTTCCAACAGTTCGTCCAACAGTCCTATAACACAGCCAACACCTGTTTCTCCTGCAGCACCACCTCTCGACCACGGCCAGCTCACAACCCCTTCTATTACTTCCACATCTCCTTCCCCTACTCCCACACCTCCCCCACCTCCCCCTGCTCACCCTATGGTGACTCGCAGTAAAGTGGGCATCCACAAACCCAAAGTCCATTTCTCTCTCATTGCGTCCTCTACCTCTTCCATTCCAACCAACTATCGCCAAGCACTTCTTGACCAAAACTGGCGAAACGCCATGATTGAGGAATATACTGCTTTAATTAAAAACAATACTTGGAATGTTGTGCCCCGCCCCCCGTTCACTAATGTTATTTCTGGTAAGTGGATATACAAACAGAAACTCAAGTCTGATGGCTCTCTTGAGCGATACAAAGCACGGTGGGTTGTTCGTGGGTTTCACCAGCAGGCTGGCATCGACTTTGACGAGACTT